TTTAGATTACACAGTTCGGCTAACATTAGAAAGGTGTACTTCTCAAACTTCGATAAAATAAACCGTTTCCGAGATATTCGAGATTACAATAATTGTTATATCGCATTATTTAAAAGGATTAAACGGCATATGATAACAAATTTTATTTTTAATTGAAAAAACTAAAAAGAGCATTCCATGAGCCTCGGGACTTTTTGCCCTGACCGTCATATTAAAAAATTTGATATCATATACATTCTAGTCCTTTAATGCGATATAACAATTATTGTAATCTCAAATATCTCGGAAACGGTTTATTTTATCGAAGTTTGAGAGGTCCAACTTTTAAATAGTAGCCGAACTAAGTAATCGAAAAATTGCATCAAATGGTATAAAAACCTAACCTCAAAGTTTGTATGGGACAATAAGCTTAAGTATCCCCTGATTCTACGACACTGTGTTCACTCGAACAATTGTAATTATGTGTGAATATGTGTTTTGGTAGTAAGTTACTGTTCGCAAAATATCACCTTTCCAAGTTTACCACAGTAGAAGTTATATTAAAAAAACTGATATGATAAGTAACATTTTATCACCCTGCATATTTTAAACATACGTAATTAGGAAAAATATTTATTTAGATTTTCGTCTTATTTTGACTTGCTTAATCTTCTCCTAAATTTATGCCACTAAGTTTAGGGACACCTTGTATATTAAACAATCTCCGTCACTGGATTCGCTCGTATCATTAGCAGAGCATGGGAAACCATCAGAAGATAGCAACAGTTTTATTGCTTCGCGGGACAAAGATTTGCTCTTTTTCGGAGCAAATTTTCTGAAGCTAGAAATATACGGATCGGAAGATGCCATAAGCCAATAAATTGAGTTAAATCCGAGTGAATCGAGTAAACGTCATGAATGCAACCCAGAAATAAAAAAAAATCTTATATTTTGTAAAGCAAAAACACAGATACGCGCACGACATAGGCTTAAAATCGCGAGGCAACCGTGCCTGAGCGCCCAAGAACATGTAGTTTTAAAGAGCCGGGGGCAAGTTGGGGCAGCTAATTTATTGATGGCTTGATAGACAAAACTCTAAGCTATTCACCGGATCTTGAACTGATGCCTTACAATGCATTACAATTTTTGTAGCTCCATTGTTCTAAAAGCTCGATTCAAAGTTTGCAATTTTAACAGACCGATCTTGTCGGTTACAATAACCCTTTGTACAAGCAAAATCTACGAAAAAAAATACATATCTGAATTTTAGATACCTTGAAAATTACCCTTCATCAAACCGCATAACAATCAGACACACCAAACACAAGTTATTCACTTTTAAACAATAAACAATTTTTCGCAGCAATCGCGTGTAAAGTACCTTCAACTGAAAGCGTCAAGTTTAAACTGATGTACAAGACAAAATATACGTATTTTATATAATTTTTTTTCAATACAGAATGGAGACAGGTATTAACTACCCATCTAACTCAAAATTTACCTGAAAAAAAAATGTCAATTTTTGAGGTTTTGCCGATTTTTTCCAGAATTGAAATACTGTGCGGCGTTCTATCAAGGTGCCGCCATATTTATTCAAAAACTATTATTTTTAATATAAAACTTTCAAATAACATATGCCAATGTTTTATTTTTACAAGACGCAGGACATGGAATGAAAATTAAAAAAAAAAATTTTTTTTTAAAAATTTATTGTAAAGTAAATTGCAAAATTACTTTAATGTTTAATGTAGAATAAAGATAAAGATAAATATAAAGATAAAGATGTTTAATGTAGAATAAAGATAAACCTAAAGATGTAAACTTATGCAACTCATCTTAGTTCTTATTTTTTCCTGTAATTACATTTTTAACAAAAACTGTGTCATTCGAGAAAAGTCTACACTATAGGTTCATAGCAATGATATTGTCTGGTAATTTTTATTGTTGTCGCTTTTTCACAGCCACTCCGTAACCGTCACTTTAGCCACTTTTTCGTGATAGGTCGCAAAAAAATTCCACTGAGCAGTAAATACCAAAATCTTCTTAATGTCTTAAAAGATTTGTAAAATTAAATTTATATTTATACTGCGATGCGGTATAGTAATTTTATTTAAATATTTTTTTCCACTCCCACCTTTAATACGCCCTTTATTGTACATGTTTTCATGACACTAAGTGACCTTTTAAATACACATTGACAAGTTGTGGCTTTATGGCGCTGTAGTCACGGGCTGAAGTTAGTTTTAAGTTAGTTGACAGTTGTCAAATGTCATACAATCGTTAAAATAAAGTGCCTTTCTTGTAAAATAATACTAAATGTGATTTATTTATTATTATCTCAATACAAAAATACAAAAATATTAAATAGTTTCTCAACGCCAATACTTGAAAAGTTTATATGAACATTGTACTGACCTTTTAATTTCGCCGGCAGTAAACTATAACTAAAATTCGGGCACGGACTCCACTGTAAAGTCCTCATAAAACATTTTCTTTACTTTCACTGTGAAAAACTGTCAATTTTCAAGAAATACATTTCGATTTATAACCTTTATAATCTGTGTTTATAAAATACAAAAATGTGACATTTGACGGTGACACGATTCCCCTATTGTTTCATAGATGGCGCTCTATACAAATTTTTGATTTAAATCATTTTAAGATAATAATAAGTATATACTATACGACAAATATTTGTCGTAGAAAAAGTATAGTATGCACCTCGTTGATAAACTTTTCTATACACTCATTAATTTAAGCATCGCTCGCAAGCTCGCTCGTGTATAAAATGGCGTTTATCAAACTTGATACATAATATACTATTATCCCCAATTTTTTTTATAGTTTGTTTGTGTGACTATACAGTTAGAGCAACCATGGTATTTTTTAACAAATGCTTAAGTTATACTTGGGTCATTCCACGATACTCGGGGATGTTTGTCCTGCCCGTCACAATTAAAAATTGCGAGTAAAAACTATCCGTTATAAAATATATTTTAAAATATTGTGTATTATGCTTGTAATAAACTTATAAGCACAATAAAAATAATATTATAAAATATTAATTTAATAACTTGTGGTTTTTACTCACAATTTTTAATTGTGACGGGCGGGACAAAAATTTCCGAGTAACGTGGAATGTCCCACTTCTGGTAAATATAAGCTAGTAAAATATTTCTTAAACTAAAATGCAATTATTTTATTTAATACTGAAATTACAAATTATGTCAATTTTATATCGACAAAATTTTTATTTTTTGAAAAGTTTTTCTATCAATACTCGATGCAAAAACATAAAATTTAAGAGAGATAATTGGGACACGATTTGATAACAATAAATACCTTCTATTGCTACGAACCTATAGATGATAAAAAATGAGTGTTACACAGTAAAAAAATATTTGTTCATTTTAACCATATATTAACCAGATTTTTTGTTTACAGCCTGTAATATGTTAACTAATTGAATAGGTGGTTTGTATACATAATTATAATTAATTGGTAATTAATAAGTATAAGAAACATTTTGTAGATTTAATAACAAAATTGTAATCTGTTAAATAATACATATGTAGTTTGTAATTATTACAGACATAGATTTAATAACAAAATTCTATAATTATAATTCAGCCATAATTTTTCTAATTTTCAAAAAGAACCTTGTTCTTACATGCAAACTTTGAGAAACTCTCAGAAAAATGAAACATACGTTCTGAATTTTTGTTTCAATGGATATACAATTTTTAGTTTTACCTAACAAAAGTGCTTACTTTAAGAGAAATAAACACCAAAAACCTTGCAAAAAAATTAAACACCCAGCCCCCAGCGATGCAAAATTATAATTTATACTTAATTTCAAAAATAAAAAATGTTCTAGAAACATTTTTTAGTTTATTTATTACAATTTTTATAAAAATAAATCATTCTAGAAACATTTTTCAGTTTAATTATTACATATATAAAAAGGTAAACCATTCTTGGGAACGTATTGTCTTGTCAATAGCATTACTTTGACCTACGTCTTTCTTGCTCCATTCGCCAAGTGGCGTATTTTGCATTTTTCTGTTATTTGGATTTGCATCGATTTTGCACCAAACCATAGAGAACATTTTGTAGCCTAAAATGGGCCCACAAGCTTAATTTATGCAGCCAGGTCGTCAAAAATTATTTTCAAAAAGGACCTTATTTTCACAAACCTTTTAGTTAAATAGGTATAAGAAATCCGAATAACAATAATAACATATTTCTGGTAATAAATTATAATCAATCTGGACAGTTGTTGTGAACACGTTACCAATTAGAATAAAGTAAGCAGAAACATAAGTTGCAGGCGCTAAAGTCAGTTGAACTTGTTCATGGGTATTTAAACTTTCAGTAAAATATTTTCCTTTGTAAAAATAATTACAAACCCTGGTTTTATACAAAAAAATTTGTTAAAATTGTACAAAATAAAATTAACAAACTACAAACTCATGTTAACAAATCTGATTTTTATAACACCAAATTTTAAAAAAATTATTTTTTGATTCAGTTATGAATTTCTAAAAATTACCGTATCGTTAATTTTTTGCGATTTTGAAAATTAAGGGCTCAAAATTTAGGGTTGTGTGTCTTTTGATACGTACAAAAACATATCAAAAATATAACTGAATCAAAAAATACAATTTTTAAAATTTGGTGATTTGATATGGAAATTCCATATATAGATTACAATCATTAGACCAAAATGTTCGACACATTCTCTCAATATTGAGGGTTTCGTGCCGGACATCTTTATTGTCAAAATAATGTTTTTCTCTCTCTTTATATTTTTTATCCACTACGTCCGGAGTACCATAAGCCTCTCCCTCAGTAATGGATTTGGTCTGAGCCGATGTGGCTCTTTTAACCAGTCACCAGTAGATACACGTGTAATTTCAAATCTTGAAACATCCACTAAATCGATTGCACAAATCACAAAATACCTCGCTGTTGAAGGATAAAATCGAACTCCAATAATGTTTTTATTTTTTTTCTTCCAGGCGACTATCTCCGCGACAAATACGACGGAGCAACGGAGGTGCGCGTGAACCGTCGCGGGCGCCTCCAAATCAGAGACACCCGTCTCAGCATCCCCACCGCCTACGACCTGGTGTACCTGGAGGACTCCCCCAACTACTGCGTGCGCGACTCCTCCATCGGGTCTCTCGGCACGCAGGGGCGCGTTTGCAACCGCACCTCGCAAGACATCGACGGGTGCAATCTCCTGTGCTGCGGCCGGGGCTACAACACCATCAAGTCGACGGTGCGCGAACGCTGTCACTGCAAGTTCAAGTGGTGCTGCCAGGTGGAGTGCAAAACGTGCGTTCGCTCCACGGACATACACACCTGTAAATAATACGTTTTTCATGATGATGACAAACACTATATAGTTCTTTGTTTTTATGTGTAGTTCGTGTTAGATGTGAGAAACTCCGACTAGCTTTAAGATAAGACTGTGACTGTGTTTTATTATTTTTTGGTTTAGTTTATTTATTTATTTTTTCGCGTAATTTATTCTTTTTATCGCCAGGCGGTTGTTAACAAAATGTTCAGCACCTATTGTATATTTTTTAAAGTTTATACGTATTTCCAATATTAAATTTCTTCCTATTAATTTTGGTTCGAAATATAACACTAACCTTTCTCTTGTCCATAATATTATATATCAATTATAAATATAAGTATTATAACAATACACATTTAGATGTAGGTATCTAATTTTTACGACTGATATCATATTTCAGAATTCTTTGTAAATAATAAACGTAAGTTATTTGTAGGGCTTCACAAAGCAATTATACATCGACCATCACACATTTTAACAAATTAAATTTTACTTATATAAATACGTGTTTAAGACCCCACATACCATGCTATGGATATGGATATTCCATATACTATATTCTTCCATGTATAATCATAATATTTTATGAATATTCATAAATATTCGCGCGCATCAATATACATAACACCGCTATTTTTGAAGGGTAAGGATATATAAGCAAAGGCATGAGTCTCTCTCCAACCAAGATACACCTTGGGCCTTTATAACACTATTTTATAGTCATTGTGCCCACCATTAGAGGTGGGAAGTTCGATTCTTTTTGGTGAATCAATTCTTTTAATTCATTCTTTTAAAATGATTCGTTCATAAAGATTCGTTCGCGACGAACAATTCAGGTTCGACCGAATTAATGACTTGGTTCTTGAATCGTTTGTAATAATGACTTGTATTGGTTGTATCGTTAAATGAATCAACGGTTGTATTATTAAATTATTGGATTCGATTTTTATTTTGCTTACGTGTAAATTAACCTATGGCTTTTCCGGTGCAACAACAGCACAGCTTACATAAAAAAAACAAAATACAAGTACCTAGGTTGTATTGGAAACTTTTGAATCAAAAGAGTATTTTGATATTTGACAAAAAATTACCTGAAATATCCCTAGATATATCACCAGTTATTCAAAAAGACCGACATTTTAGCCTAGTGATCCGAACCTAGCATTTAATTCAGTGCTTGTAACCAAGTTTATATTTATTTTAAGGTTTGATTCACTTTTTAGTTCACTAGCCGTGATTTAAAAAAAATGATTCAAAAAAGAATTGATTCTTTTACAAACTTTGTTCGATTCATTCGGTTCATTTAAATGATTCTTTCTTTTTGAACGAATCGGAATCAATCTTGCCACCTCTACCCACCATGTCTCACTAAGATGAATTTTAATTTTTTTTTAATTTTCTGAGGTGTTTTGACGTTTTAGAGTATACTTCGAGTTCTAATTGATCGATTTGACCAAACAAGCACTTAAATCAAAGGTAATTGAGTCCTCTACAACTTTCTCTTGTATAGTTTTGGTATCGCTTCAGTAGTTCGATACTGCCGATTTTATGAAGTTAAAAAAGTCCTTTTTTACGAAAAAAACAAGGCCGAAAATTTACATATCTTTCTGAGAAAGATAACAATCGAAAAGATAAGTCCAGTTTGATTTATTTTACGTAGGGCCGGTTTTTCAATCGTTGGTTAAGTTTAACTTACGGTTAACTTTATTAGATACTATTGTGTTAACAATAGTATCTAAGGAAATTAACCGTAAGATAAAGTTAACCAACGATTGAAAAACCGGCCCGTAAAGATTATACTTAAAGGAAAAAAATAATCTGCGTTGATGAAAATCCATGGATAAATGGCTAAGTTATGAATTTATCAGTGGAAGACTAAAATTCAGTTTTTCGAGAATTTTTACGTCTTTTCTTCATTTAATTGAATTATATAAAATTTAATATCAAACAATAAATATTGGACATTAAAAATACTGAAAGTTTTATTTTTTTTAAATTCTGGCTCCTTTTTTTTGTTGCTTTTGTATTTCGTTTTTCGTATGAGGGACCAAATGTAATCACCCATCATGGCTTCATTTGCTGGTGAAAACGTTCTCCGTGCTCATCACTTACGTCGCCCAGATTGTCCGGGTTATTTACGCACTCGAACTCTACTTCTTTTACTCATTTTAAACTTTTTATTAGCTAAATAAAACCATGCAAAATATGTTGAAATATCAAAAAATAGCAGTAAAATGTCACTATGCCAACACGAGAAACAAAAGAATTCACGTTTGCGGAGTCATGTCAAATTTTGAATAATGTTTTCGGTGAAAAAAGTACGTAAAAAACTCGAAAAATTCCAATAATTCACTTTACTTAGGTTTTCGTTAAAGAATAAACATAATATATTATATTATATTATATTATTGATATATATATATATATATATATATATATATATATATTATATCAAAATAAAAGAAAAAAAATAAAAGAAAAATCGTCAAAAAGCTGAATTTTGGTCAATTCATAACCTCGCCATTTTTCCATGTATTTTTATCAACATTAGCTTATTTTTTTTTTTGTAAAAATGTCAGCTTCACGAAAAAAAACTGGAATCTGTTTGATTTAAACCTTTCCCAGGACAATATTTAAATTTTCGACCTCAATTTTTGCCATAAAAACGAATTTTTTAAGTTCGCTAGCATCAAAATACTTATCTGATATCAGAAGCATGTAGAAGAAAGTTTTAGAGGGCTTAAATACCTTTAATTTAAGGGTTTGTTTGACCAAATCGATCAATTAGACTTCAAGCTATACAAAAAAACGTCGAAACACCTCCAAAAATTGAAAAAAAAAACGCATACATATAAAAAATTGAGTGCGATTTTCGTGTTAGTGGGTCAAAATACATGGAAAAATTATAATGGGATATGGTGGGCAGAATTTTTTAATAAGCAGTATATTCAATAGTCACGATACTCTAGAAACCAGATCTGGTTCACTTATGAAGCTATAGCTACAAAGAGACCCAGGGTCTGGTCAATCCTCAGTAGGTAGATCTTGCGTTTTATATTAGGAATATCGATTTTTTTTTCAAGAAGATCGATACCTATTATCGATTAAAATTAAAGCTCCCAGTATCGATTCAAAAATAAATCGGTGTCCTAATAATCGATTTTTTGATATAATTGAGGAGCATCCGTGCAAAACCGGCTATATCCACTTTAATAAAATGTTGGGAAAATGGCAAAAACTCTCGGTTTCCTGGCCTTTACAGATAAAAGAAAAAGCAAACTTGAGTTTTGTGGGCTTTGTGCTAGGTACTTGATTTATAAGACATACTTTCGTTTTCAAAAACTTTATATTAAGGCCAAAATTTCAAAAAATGTTTTGTATATAGCCGGTTTTGCTCGAAAACCGAATAAAATGTGAAAAAAAAACTTTATTATTCAAAAATATTAACAAAATAAATTTAGTGCAAACATGAAAAAACAGAACAAATTTTAGTAGAAGTATCGACATATCCAAGCAGGCCCGTTCCTGGCGAGCGTGCAGTGCGTGCACGCACGCAGGCGCAACATTTCGGGGGCGCAAAATCAAAGAGTCATTTAGTACTTTGTAACGATAAACTTTCTTGCATATAATACTTAAACATACATTGGATAAAGGTTTCTGCCTTTTTTGCGTCGGCCGCTCTTTTTTTCGGTCGCTATAAAGCGCCTTTTACCGCTTTGATATTGGCTGCTTATTTTGTTTTGATATGAGTATCAAAGTAAAAGGAGAGAAATGGTCCTATTATCTTTAGTATTTGTTTGATAGTTGCAGTTGACTCTCTAAAATAGAATTAGTCAAAAATGACTAATTCAATTAGTCTAATTGCAATAGCGAAAAAGCAGCGACTAATAATTATTGTCAATAGTAATTTGTATCCCGGATATTTAGCAGTCAATTGCTATGTAAAATTGTCCTCTGAATCCGAAAATGTCGTCAAAAGTTATAAAAGTAAAACCTTTTTGAGAGTTAGTAAATTTTCCATATAATATGGTATTGACTATATCTTAAAAACTGCTTTACTTTTATAATTTTTGACGGTATTTTCGGAAAATTTTGCATAATAATTAGCTGTTAAATGCCCGGGATACAAATAGCTGTGGACTAAAGTTATAGAGAGTACGTCACTAAAAAGTTTTTAGTAAAAACCAGTTGTAGGTAGTTATTATATTGTTTAGATTGTTTTTTTTCTTTAGAGTATTTTTATCACTGACAATTTCCTTGTATTAATTTCCACCAATCACAAACGCGCAATTTTGAACTACAAATGGTTTCTGAAGGAAAAACTGTATGACAGCACCTGTCAGCAGTTTTTTCGAGTTTACCCGCGGCAAAAACTATAATTTATATTTTAATTGTTAACTGTTACTAATGAAATAGTCTTGTCAAATACCATTCGGGCATCTAACGTTTCCTATGAAAAAAATCGTTAAACACAATGCTAAGTAATATTTTCATGCAGGTGCAAAAATCCTCGTCTTCGACTCGGATTTTTGTTGCCACCAGCACTCATGCTTCTTGTTAAAATATTAATTAGCAACGTGTTTTTTCGATTTTTTTCGAAAAAATAGATGCCCTTATGATATTATTTGTTTGTTTAGTAATTTAATAAATATTTTTTATACTTAATTTAAGCGGTTTTTTTACATTTTCAATTACATATTGCCAGTTCGTCGCAAAATATATATTTTTTAAATTTTACCGCTTAAAATTCAAATATTTAATGTATTATATTTAAATATAAAAGGGGCGCACCAACGAATGCTGCACGCAGGCGCCAGACACCCCAGGAACGGGCCTGTATCCAAGCCACATATTATTTATTGGATATAGCCGGGTTTGCTATAAAAACGTGGATTTGGCCGGTTTTGCTCCTAAAGCTACCTTTTAAATGTGATTTTAACATGGATAAAGTCGGATTTAAACAGAATTATCTTGGTTGTCGATAGAAATGAACCCAAAGATGCGAAATCAACAAAAAAAACAAAAACTGAATAAAATGGATTTAGCCGGTTTTGTACGGATGCTCCTCAATTGCTGGGGGTTTTTCATATATTATATAAAAACTGTACAAATACTACACTGTAAAAAATGATTTCTTCAGCCAAGTTAAATTAACTTAATTCAAGATACTAAATGATTCCTTCCTTCTCGAAACAATATTTTCTTGACAGCAGTAAAAATTATTATCTATATATCTATGTATACAAGTTCAAAAAAGAGAAGTGGAGTTATTAACTTTTAAAGTTTTTGCTATACACAAAAATCTGGATACTTTTTTCAATATATTGTTTGCATTAATCAACATCAACTTGTACAATTTTCACGTTATGAAAATTTAAAAAAATATATCTAGTAGGTATACATTCGCGTATATCCATCAGCATATCTATATCCAAAGACATACATTGGATATGTTATGTACAATGTACATTGTACATATTCATATACAAATAGGTATTAATTTGCTATGTGGGACGGAAATTTTTGTTTTGGTGGAATTTATTATTTATTTGCCTACCTAACATTGATGTAGATCTAAGGTAGCTGTACTTAACATTGATTTGGACCCTTCTTTATTTTTGGGAACAAAACAGTCACACTAACAAAATTAAAGAATATACTATGGAATATCCATATCCATGGATATGCTAGATTTCACTTTTCTCAAATAAATATTTTTTATTTGGACTTTTGTTTTCGAATTATCGACCTTTTTTTTGTATTTATCTCCGTTATTTTATGGCCGGATTTTAAATTATATTCATTTAAAAAATCTAACAATTTTTATTAGCGAGTTCAAGGGAATACTTTAATAGCGTACCTAGGTATTTTTTAATATCTGAAAATGGTACCTACTCAAATGAACTTGGCTGGGTTTGATATTAGACCCCTGAAATAACGGAGATAAAAAGCTCAATTGGAAATTTATTATTTGAGATGAAATTATAACCTCTATATAATAACCTTATATATAACGTAATATATTACGTTGTTCATTTTGAGTAAAAACACCCTGTATATAAAATTTGCTGCACTTTATTCCATTCCCAAAATTCCCGTTTTTTAACACACCTCGTATCTTTTCATTTTTGAATTCAATTCCTAACATAATCTATTTATTATTATTAAGAAAATAAATTTATATACCAATCAAGCCGAATTTCTATTTTGATAGGTGAAGCTTGTTTTGTAAAATAGAAACGTTACTTTTAAAGGTAAATTAATCATAAGTATTGTGGAATATTTAGATTTTTCTATGTATATTCAATAATTTTCCCATCAGTATTATAAAATATTCATAATATTATTATTGTAGAAAGTATTTGTATAGATATTTAATAAAATTTATACAGACCGAACCTGTTTTATTTTTCTTTATGGCCAAAATCGTGGTAATATTAGTAGTATTATCGTTGAGCGTATCAACAGTATTATCCTAAATAGAATGTAAAACTTTTACCTTGTTTTTTCGATAGAATCTGCAGCCATTATTCATTAATAATTTAACATTCCCATTAATAACACTAGGCAACAAATTTTAACTTAAAAAAAAGGTCCTGGTTAAAAATAGAATTTTTCGATTGTTTATAACTGAAATAGATCCAAAATGTTTTTAAAAAAAATTTCTGAAGTCGTAAATAAAAAATAGGAGCACAGTATTTTGGTACCATTTATTACATAGATACACCATTTAAAAATTTTAAGATGACGAAACTTTTAACTTATATTTCAGCATTCCATGAACAACATATCTGTACATATTGTAATAATTTAAGGCATGTTTTTTTGATGTTTTTTATCGTTCAAATTATTTTGTATACTAATTTTTATCGTTATTATTTAACAATTTTTCTTTGTATCATGGTGCTGCCCGTATCGTCTAAACAAGACTTTGGAAAATTTTTTGGTCGCCGGGTTTGCGTCGAGCAGGTCAAAATCTATAGGAGTGTGCTATTTTTATTACTGACCTTTTTTATTTACTAATTTTTATCGTTATTATTTAACAATTTTTCTTTGTATCATGGTGCTGCCCGTATCGTCTAAACGAGGCTTTGGAAAATTTTTTGGTCGCCGGATTTGCGTCGAGCAGGTCAAAATCTATAGGAGTGTGCTATTTTTATTACCGACCTTTTTTATTTACTAATTTTTATTGTTATTATTTAACAATTTTTCTTTGTATCATGGTGCTGCCCGTATCGTCTAAACGAGACTTTGGAAAATTTTTTGGTCGCCGGATTTGCATCGACCAGGTCAAAATCTATAGGAGTGTGCTATTTTTATTACCGACCTTTTTTATTTACTAATTTTTATCGTTATTATTTAACAATTTTTCTTTGTATCATGGTCCTGCCCTTATCGTCTAAACGTCAAAATCTATAGGACTGAGCTATTTTTATTACCGACCTTTTTTTATTGTTTACTAGTGTAATTTAACAAAAATTATATAAATCCCACGAATTTAAAATTTAAACTTATATCGCCATCTACAAGCATACATCAAAACTATTGATCGTAATATGTAGATTTCTGTTGCAATATCATATTTTTGCAATTTCAATGTCGATGAAGTAGAACTTTCATTAATCAAAATCATATGTGAATGACAGATGTATATTTTTTATAAGAGTAATGAATTCGGATTTTTTATTTAATTCATCAATATTTGATGTACTTATACTTTATTGGAACGAACTAAGTATTTACGTGTTGAATTCGTTCTCCGGTCTGGTAAACTCGCGTACAAAAAACCTCGTGTCTGTTATCGAAAGTCTGCCAGAGTCTTTGTATTTCGACGAGTTCCAGTGGAAAATTTTGCAGGGTCTCCTTGTTGTTTTGTTTATCAACTTGGCTCTCATTGTCATCGTCTGGAAATTCTACGGCAAACGTATTTGCGAACGGTTTATGATTTTAAGTGAGTTTTAATTTTTAAACGCCTTTATAACCTAAAATTAATTGATGTTGTTCCAGATACTTCCTCCAAAGCTATCGAAGAACTTAAGGCGAGCGTTTCGAGACTTAAACTTCCCAAAGAACACACACCAAGGATATAAAAATGGCGGAGAAAATCAAAAAGTTCTTTGCCAAAAAGAAGGCCGATGCCAAATTCAAACTGGCAGGTCCTGGGCATAAGTTAAACGAATCTTCCTCAATAGACATTGTAGGTCCAAGTAAGCAAAACAAACCAAAGACAGCTCCCCCAAGAGCTACACCAACTGATGCTACAAGACAAGCAGCAGAAGCTGCTTTAGCCAGAGTCAGTACCCAGAAAAAAGATAGTGCATTTAATACATCTTTAGCAGCGATTCAAGCCAAAGTAAGAAAGGAACTCGAAAACGAAAAGAAAAATGCTGCGAAAACGGACGAGTTTGTTCCTCAAAAAAGACCTGAAGAAACTGAAATAGAGGCATCACCTCATTTAGCTGTTAAAGGGGTTTATTTTAAGTGTCCATTGGTTAGCGAAGCTGTTTTAAGTAAGGAAGATTGGAAGGTTAAGATTCAAGAGTTTTTGTTTGAACAGCTGGAGGAGGAAAAGGGCCTGACTGCGTGTCTAATTATTCATTCCTGTAATTATAATAGAGCTAAGGTAAGAAAAATATTATTTTTGGATGTTGATAAGTTTGAAAGAAAATAATTAGCACTTTTGAACATTTTAAGTAGAGCTATTATAGCTATATTATTATAATACATACCTACAGTTTGTTTTTTTTTATACAGAATTTGACACATTTGATTATGTTGGTGCTGTATGGTATTGGTATTTTTATTATTTATAATTGGTACTCCTGTCAAAGGCCTTACTTTTAAATACTTTGACATTTAATTGTCTTTTGATAATCTTTATCATGGAGCCTACACAAGGAGTCCGAACTGCATGTAAGGGGCCGTCCTTTAATCACGTGAGGTTCAAACAGGGGGGGGAGGGGGCTAGAATAACATCACGATTGATCACCATGAGGGGGGGAGGGTATATTGGGACAATCACGTGTATTAATTTAATTTTTATTATTTTTTTTCCATTTTTTTAATTTAAATTTTTATTCATTTTTATTAAAATCCTTTTTTAATTGTATTTTTTTCACTCCCATTTTTTAATTATATTTAATACTATTTAATACCATATTATATAGAATATTATTGTTGTGCCGCACAAGTTTTGCGAGCACATAAAATTTATCAACAAACATTTTAATTGTTAGTAATTTAATTAACAATCATTTTCATTCCATTACTATTAGTATTTTTTGCTTAAATGGATAGATGGACTATAGAGCTTTAAATTTATTGGTTAATTTCCGATTTGTTATTGCATAGTGACGAAAAGAGTTCCTATTTGACATCATTGAGTCAAATTATAGTTGATTATAGTTTGTTGAGTTATGTTGGTTTAACAGAAAGTCAGTCATATCAAAATAACATAAGCCAAAAAACTATAAACATTTCTTTTTTACACTAATGTATATTGTTTGCATAATATTCTAATTTATTAATAAAAACGAATGTTTTTGAATTAAAAAACTGGCTGAAAATAAAAAAGTATACAATACACGAGTCGTGTCACACGACGCAAATTTCGAAATGATTACTACTGTCTCTACGCGTCTCGATAAACTCTTGTATTGTAATATACTATTTCCATAATATTTTTCCAATAAAAAAAATATTTTTTTAAATACACAAAATATTTTTTAATAAGAAAATATTTTCCGTAATATTAAAAAAATACACGTGATATTGAATGGGGGGGGGAGGGGTAGCCTAAAACCTCACGACGCATCACCAGGGGGGAGGGGGGGGGTAAAAAAGTGGCTAAAAACACCTCACGTGATTAAAGGACGGCCCCTAATCAAGAATCTTCCTAAAGAAAGTAGGCGTTGGTGTCCCGTTTATTCTGAAACAATTGACTAATTTGTACTGAAACGCTACCAAAAGAGCATCAGGACGCATCAACAATCAGCGCCGCAGTTGGTGAAAAAAAGACTTAATTTGTGCAATTTAGAGTGCAGGTTTTGTCAATTTTCCCTATTAAGTTCAGGCTCCTTGTGTAGGCTCCATGATCTTTATAATAAACAATACCTAAGATAACAAAAAATTCTAAATGAAAACAGTATTTTCTAAAACATAAGGGCAGGTTTTGTCAATTTTCCCTATTAAGTTCGGGCTCCTTGTGTAGGCTCCATGATCTTTATAATAAACAATACCTAAGATAACAAAAAATTCTAAATGAAAACAGTATTTTCTAAAACACTTATTTTTGGAGTAATATAATCCTTATTAATGCTTAGTGACTTCAGTGAAAAACATTCATCATTGAAAAAAGTTTTAACACAATTTTTTAAATATTTTTGTATTATTTTATATAAATTTGTGCATTCCTTTTTAAAACTACAAACCAAATAATATCGAAAAATACGTGGGTATTTCTATATTGAGAATGCCGTAAAGTCCTATATTTCAAAGGCAAAATTATTTTATTTTTTAACAATTTATTTTTGTCATTTCAAAGTTTATAAACATAACCACAATTATTTTCTCCACTAAATTAGTTGGGTTTTCTCAATGTAGCCAATTATAAATTTAGGGTCCTTGGAATTTGCAAACTAAAACTTAAGCTATGTTAACTTAATTAAGTTACATAATATACCTACTATAAGCTCATATTACCATTAAAAAATATTATTTAAATAAAAATATTTATTTTAATGCCACCATTTTATATTAATATAAATTTGTATTATTTTAATTAAGGTAGAAGACTGTGTGACCACTCTCTGCAGATACATAGATAACATCATAACAAATCCTGAAGAGACAAAATTCCATAAAATTAGATGGCAAAATGCAACTTATGCTGATAAAGTGGAGCCAATTTTGGGTTCCAAAGAATTTTTGGATGCTGCTGGTTTTCGAATTCAATTAATTGAAAATAATGGTAATGAAGAAAATTTCTGGGTTTGGTCTGCTGAGAACATTGAAAATGTGGAGGTTTTGCAAGTAAGTGTTTTTTAAAAATATGTTGCAAGTATTTAAAGTTAATTAATGTTTTATGCACAATTGTGGGTTGTGGTTTTATGTTTATTAACATAGATAGGTGTATACATTATAAACATTATTGTTTTCACAATAATTAAAGTAAATATTTACTTTAGGTATCATTAAAAAATAAAGTAATTAATATTGTGTAGGTATTTAACAAGGAATAATATAATAATTCTTACTGGAACCTTGAAGGAATATTGATTACTTAAAATTAATACTTTAATGATTTTTGCATAAGCCCATAACAATTATAAATATATGTTAAAAAAAGGTAAAGTAGTTCTAAGGCATATAGTAGAGCCAAGAGGAAGGCGCTATGCGCATGCCTTTGTGCAAGAGTATTGCGTATTGCAGACTGTAATACGGACTTTACAAAATTACCAAAACAAAAGACAATTATTAATTATTACATATCGTCACCTAAATGTGTAGAACTGCCATTTTTTTCTGTTTTTGCCATTTTATTGTCATTTGGTACAAAAACTTTAAGAAATGCAAAAGATGCAAAAATTTAAAAAAATTGACTTGGCAGTTTTTTACATTTAGGTGAAGAAATGTAATATTTAATAATTGAGTTGTTTGTTTTGGTAATTTTGTAATAAATTATATTATTTTGGAAAATTAAATATATGGTTTACCTAAATTTTTTAGTTAAATATAAAATTTCCAAATTTTTTTTTAATGAAGCATTAAGCTTGTATTGAAAACGATGCTTTAAACAAAAAAAAGTTATTCTACAAACAGTACCTAAAATAGTTAATTTTACCACTACCCCTATATATTATATATTTCTTACGATATTTATAAAATGATATTGATATATCATTTGATATGATATCAATATCAATATTTAATAAATAATTTCAATCTGCTATTCCTAGATGGTTCATTATACTTTTGAGCCCCATCTACCTCTAAAAAATAAATATTCTCTTAAAGAGTCTCTTATTTTCAAGTTGTAATTTCGTAACGATAGCAGTGCAGTGTGACAAAAGAGACATGTGACGAAGGACACATTTTTCACAATTAAAAAATCTATTTTCCAAATGACACAATAAATGTAGATAAAACATTTCATTAGTTAAAAAGAAAGATATTGGTCTAATTTACATAAAAAAGAAAATTAAATACTGCAAAATCTTACCGAGTTAATGCAGTGACGAAAGATAACCTTAAAAAACACACGCTGCTTGTTTGTAACGCGCAAAATAACAATATCGATACCATTGCCTGCAGCGGCGCCATCTCGTGACACAGTTATAAACTACATGGGTTACAAAGTTATTGAATATATTATGCTAAACTCCAGTGTATTTTATAACAAAGCTGTTTGTGACGAAGTACACATTAAATATAAGAACAAGGTTTGGTCACGCTTAAAAATTATTCAGACATTTTATCACATTCTTTATTGGTACTGAGGAGCTACTTATTTGTTATTTCATTTAAGTTTAAGAATTCTGTTTCATACAAAACCTATAAAATATATCCAAGTTTTTACTATTGCAATATGATGGGAATATGGGATTATAGAATGTGATGCTAACTTTCAACGTTAATTAAGACATTAAAAATATTTTTATATTTAATTGAAAAAATTTCTATTAATTTTTTTTTATTTTAAGTTCTTATTTATGAATTTAGTTCTATTATATATTAGCTGTCTCAGTTTATTATTTTTTTAATAAGAAATGTTAGGGACAACTGACAAATGGCAGAGAGCCTTAATAGTATAATAACCCAGATGTCACAGTTGAATTTTTGTACTATACGGATATCACACGTGAAAAATGAAAATCATGTCGTGATTTTTTATGTCATCAGGAGAGTCAAGGTCGGGGTCCCGTCGTAAAAATACGATCGTATATAGCAAGGTTTTGAGCAAATTATCCAAACAGTTTATTGGATGTTTCAAGATTCCCTTGGAAAGTTTTGTCCTATGGCAGATGGATCTCTCTGAAGACACTGGACGTTAATACTGGTAGCTGGTCAGTAAAAGTAAAATTGAACTCAAGACCAACTCTCTCGAAAATCGCCTTTTGTTTTGGTTCATGAGATCGAAAATCGCGGTTCGTTTACAGTGTTGCCATTTGCGGGAATTTATTATTATTAAGTTATCACTGTTTTTTATAAGAAAAGTATTATAATTAAACTAAACAACTAAGTTTTAAATTCACCGTTTGTAGGGATCGTGCGCATGCGCAGATTTTGCAAATATCACGCGTGATTTCAACATGATATCACTATGATGTCACGCGCGTTATCATTATGAGTTAACCAGAAAATCCCTATTGTTGTCCGGAAAGTTAGGTATAACATTTATAAACAAGTGAGACTTCTAAATTAATTTACTTTTTATAATTTAATGTAATTTATAAAGGGTCGTACATTAAGTAGATCACTTAATTTTTTGGAGATTTATATAGGTTGTTACAAAAAGTCTCCCTCCCAAAAATCATGTCACACTCAGATTTTTTTTTCTTAATGTAATTATTTCTACATTTAAATATTTTTATGTTTGCTGTGACGTAACACATGATCTCAGTTCGACGCTAACTATTATCAGATCGGGCCATTTTTGTTGTTGAGTTTATTTTACCCAAATTTTCTGAATATAATACCATGTTGTAATAAAAGCCTACCATTAAATCAAGGCCCGTTTCCACTGCAATTAAATTATTAGTTTACGTTTGAATTAATTTGTGTGCCCTTTTGTAAGAAAATGTATTCAAAAATAAAAAAATAGTAAAACATGATATTTTATTTTTTTAGACCCTCAGAGAAACTCTTACATCTGGTGAAAGAGTGGAACTGGAAATTGACAGAAACATCCAAATTTTGTCGCCTTCTCAAGCTTCTGCAAGAATTGAACTTCCCCAAGATTTCTACGCTATATCGGCTGAAGAACTTAAAAGGGAACAACAACTAAAGTAATATTTTATATTTTAACATTTTCTTTTTTTTTTAAATGCAACGTTTTAGGGCTGAAAATCTCGATAAACAACTACAATTAAGGACTAAAGCTATGAGAGAAAAGGAGGAACTAAGAGAAATACGTAAATATAAATTCGCACTTATAAGAATTCGGTTTCCAGACGGGCTATATCTTCAAGTACAAAATTATTGCATTTTAATTATCAATAATCTCATTTGATCAACTTTTTAGGGAACATTCTCAGTATATGAAAAATTCGCTGAAGTATTGGAGTTTGTCCAGGAAAATCTAGATGTAAACCTGCCATTTGTTTTATGCACTGCGACAGGTCAAAAGTTCGGCGAAGATGATGCCGATACCAACTTGGCCACACTAAGATTGGTACCAGCGACCATTTTATTATTTAGCTGGGACAAATCCATTGAAGAAGACTTAAAACAATCTGGCCACAGTGGATTCTTAAAACCGGAAGTTATGATGTTAATGCAGTCACTTTTATAATTAAGGCGGCTCATTTTTATCAAATAATTGGTATTTACATTTATTATGCTTCATATTAATTAATTTAATGATTTTATGTATACTTATCTCCACTTTTGCTGTAATTTATTTCTTTTACTCTTGTGATATACATATTTTATTAAATTATTATCGTTAAGACATCTTGGAATTTAATATTGTTAATTTTGATTGTTACTGCAAATAAACTGATTATTTCACCATTAAATTTAATATTTTTAGATGCCCTTAATATAATAAACCACCATATCATTAAGTTTTAAGTTTAAATACAAATTTATAATTATGGTTTTAACCTTTTGATTCATTAAAATTAATCATTATCCATCTATTTTTTGTAGCGTTTTAAAGCGCCGAAAAAAACACCCGGTAATATTGGGGAAAACTTTTTTCCGTATTTTTTTTCAAGAGCCTTGGAAAAATTCGCTTTTTTTTTTAATTGTTGTAAATTTAAAAATTTACAATGTTTTAATAAAAGGAGAATTTTTTATTTTATTTATAAATAAATACATCATTTTACTTGCAAGTAAAATTTTTACAATTTTCCGTATTTTTAGAAAAATTTACTTGCATTTATTCTTGTAGTACATTAGGTAAATTTTCAACTTTTGAAATATCACAGCTAAACGCTTGGACATGTAAACATAATTTTTGGTCTTAGATTCCAAATCTGTGCTCGGTTTAGCTGTATCAGGTCTAAAAAAGTTTTCCTGTAGGAAATCCCGTCCGGGGACACACTGTATACTGCAGTATATACAGATTATATTATAATTTGTAAAATAATATATTTCACCTCTTGAGTCATTCTTATGCTTTTTATTTTAATTAATATAATATCCTCAATTAAACTCAATAAAAAAAAATTTACAAAAATAACATTTTGAATTTCATAACTTATCTATAAAAAAACCCCAGGGACACGTATGAATTAACTTCAAATTTTGCAAGAATTTGTTTTTTTTTTAATTTGGAACTGAAAATTGATTTTTTTTAAATGTATACAGGGTGTTTTCAATATCTTTGAATTTTGATCTGATACAGCTAATTAGGTTTAAACCAAGCATGGATTTGAAATCTACGACCAAAAATTAAGTTTACGTGTCCGAGCGTTTAGCTGTAATATTTTCACCACTAGTGGTATCTGTACTACTTTTTTTTCTGCGGTGCGGAAAAAATTCAAGAAAATTGGATGGTTTATAACTTTTTTAAATCCATGTTTTCCGCATCTTTACAGACAAGGATGTAAAAAAACTTAATTGTTCTAAATTATTTTTACTGTGAGCGCAGACAAAATAAAGATTGAATTAAAGAACGCTTGAAGATTAAAGAGCCTTTAACATCAAAAGCATTTTAAACGGAAAATTGAAAAAAAATTTCGTATTATCCGCAATACCCTATAATGGATAATGCAAAATTCAATTTTTCTGCAAATTTTTCAATTTTTATGTTTAAAATACTAGTGTTTTAAAGTATATTTTCAATTTTTCTGCTTTGCAAAGCGCTCATAAATCCTCGAGCATTTTATAAAAAAAAATATACCTATTGCAGGATTTGCAAGTAGCATATTTTTTTAAGTTTTATTAAAAAAACTCCAAACCTTGGTTTCATTTTTAACCATTTTGGAATTGGATGTTCTGTTTTTTCATTTATTTAAAGGTTTAAAAAAAAATTACGAGAAAAAATTAATTTTTTTTTTAAATGTCCCCATTTTTAAATAAAACCGGTTTTTTCCGCCGGCTCAATTTTTCAGGAAATTTTAAAACACTACTTTTTTGTTCAAGTTATTTAAAAAATATTGTTCCAAATTACGAAAAAAATGCTAAAATAACATTTTAATTTCTTTTTTTTAACTCATTATGTTAAGATATTTTTGTAGGGATTTAACGCTTTACAAAAAAGGTCCAAGTTAAATTTTAAGAATTTTCTACTTTTTATAAATTTTAAGAATTTTCTACTTTTTTAGCATAACCTACCTCAAAACGTTTCATATTCATCAAATTAAGTTTTTAGAATTCCTGAAGGACCTTTTTAGTTATTTGCACCTAGGAGTAAATTTATTTTGAAAAATCTTTTGACCGTTTTTAGGCACTTGTTAAAATTAAAAATGAGAATAAGATTTTTTACGAATTTAGAAAACTTCATAAGAGATAATTCAAGGGAATCTTTCTACAAAAAAGTTTGTATGTAATTGTGTTGAAAAAGTAAAAAAAATTAAAATTTATCATAAAATGATAAGAAAACTTTTATGTAGCTTTCAATTACCTACACAAATATGTTCTGGTCAGTCCACCAATCTGCTGAGCTCAGCATTTTTTTTCTGATTTATAACTATTTTCAATACATTTTAAAGAAAAAAAATTGTCTAATACCTACCCTAGTATTTCTCTGCCTACTGGAACCATTTTTTTCTGAAATACACAAATTGCTAATATAAAGAATTTAAACACTCTGAAATCATTAATTAAATTTTTGATCCTAAACCAATATTATTCAAGGTAATTTAATATGAATTAATATCATATTAGCAATTTGTCAAACTTACCTACTAATTAACTTCTCATAAGTTATTTCTAAAACTAATCTTACTAGGATCATTTTAACTTACAAAATGAAAAATATATATTGAAGAAATTAGTATTTTCATATTTATTTCAACAAATGGGTCTACTTTACAAGTATTCAGACTTATTTTATCACATTTGAAAGACCACTTAGCACAGTGAATTTTAGAAAGATTTGAAAATTGTTCACTTTAAGGAAGAAAAATAAATAATTAAAAGCCACTAAATTTGCACTTGATAAAACTATCACCAAAAGGTGAATGAAGCACTGTGTTGATCTGAAAAAATTTGATTAAATTTGGGCCAATACACTTAAATTTGATCACAACTTTTAATTTTTTTAAATGCAGATTTGAATTTAGCACGATCCTAAGCAGGTGCAAAAGTAAACACCACTGGCACATTTTTTGATTAAATAGGAAAAATAAGTTACTTTTGCACTTGTCAACTAACTAACCAATAAACCAAACAACAAACCCAGCCATAATCCATCGTGGCACCACTTTCACAAGGAATTTGAAAAACAACACAATTGTCTGAAAGAACTTATCTATTTCACATTCACTATTAAAGAAGAAACAATACCAATATTTAGTAGTTTACATGTCTAATGAAATGAACAATTATTCACTGAAAAACTTAACACTACATCACAATGTTAATTTAATTTTGAAATTGGTACTTAAAGTTTTTGCAAAAATCTCTACACTAATACACAGTACAGTTCTTTCACATATTAGATAAATCCTTGCAGTACTTATGTTATTAAATGTTACACTAAAATTATAAAAAGAAAATGAGAAAGAACTGCAACCACTAAAACTAATCCACTTCACAATATTACATACAATCATTTCTTCAGGAACATTAACACTAACAAATTTATATTACAAAAATTTATCGTTGATCTCCAATTTCCTGAAATAAATTTTACTTTAGACAAAGTATGTTGTGTAAATATGACCAATTTAAATATGTATGTAGAATAATGTGTTAAAGTTTTAGTTGTAACAAAAATGCTCGTATATAAAAAATAATATATAAAATATATATAATAAGCATAGTCATTTTAATAAAGTCATAGAATATATAAAATAATCCTTCTCAATAAAGTTAATAACTATAAAAACACGCAATGACTATACTTGTATATATGATATGCTGTGTAAAGTATAAAATAAATTACATATTGTGTATATAATAATGTGGTAAAAATAAGGACAAAAAAAGGATCTAGGCAGTACCACCACGTACCACAACTATAATAAGATGGTCTTCCTTGATTGCTTCATCAGAAAGGTTGGGACAAGTACGCTTAAGGAGTTCAGTGGAGAAGGGACAGGGAGGAAAGGAATACAAAACCCCAGTTGCTTCAGTTTCCTTATTTAGTAAGGAAATAACACCTGCAGCTTCTTTCTGTTTCAAATACGACACCAGATTCCTTAGCGGCCTAGTTTGCACCGTAACATCGTCGTTCGTGACGGACGCGGTCGAGCCGGCAAGCCCCAAGAAAATCGCGTGCGAACTGGCACCCGATATGCGTTTCTGTACGTCCTCCAGTTTCGGCTGATCCAAACGCAATCTCTGCGTTATTCTCAGCTGATGTTTACCGTCCTCGTCTTTCATCAAACCGTCGACTATGTCCGTATCGCCGTCGATCAAGTGAAACTTGGCGGGGAAAAGCGAGTTTTTCAGGATCAGCGCCCCCTGCCAGACGGTCGTGCACTTTCTAGCCACCTCGGGCAACGTCCTGCTCGAAGCTAGGAGACCGGCCCTGCGCGATCCGCCGTCGGAGTCCGAATCGGGCGACCTCCGCGCCGAACGAGAGCGCGATCGGTCGGCCCCGCGCGAACCCGAACGCCTACGATCGTATTCGCCGTCGCGAGTTCGGCCCCACTCGTCTTCCGCGCCCTCCGGGTACCTGTACGGGCCCCTACTGCCCGCTCTTCTTTCCGGATACGCAGGGCGGCCTCTGTATCCGCCGCCCCTGTAGCTACCCTCGCCCCCCTCGTATTCGTAATCGTAATCGGCCCTTCTGAATTCTCCGCCTTCGGGTGGTTCGGCGCCCCCGTGATACGGCGCCTTCGGTCTGTAACCTACGCCGGGCGTCACATCCGCGAAATCCGTTCTCAGTCTACGATCCGGTGCCAACGAGAAACCGCGCATTTCTTTAACGGCCGCCTGCGCGGCGTCGATACTGTCGTACAAAATGTACCCGTGATTTTCCCCTTTAACATAGTCGATCTTTTTGATAGCACCAAACCTATCGAATTCCCTTTCCAATTGAGGTATGGAGGTCCAAGGTCCCAAGCCACCAATCCAGATTCTTGTTGTTGGGGTTGCTTTACCGTAACCAATTTTGCATTGAAATTTGCCAATGTACTGTCCAGACAGCTCAACTTTGGCTCTATGAGCCATATCTAGAGTGTGATATCTTACGAAAGCAAACGCGTTTCCGGTACCAGGTGGAGGTCTTTTAATGTCGATGTCTTCAACAACACCATACCTGGTGAAAATCCTTCTCAGTTCCTCCTCTGTTATATTAATTTCCAAGTTGCCAGCAAACAACGTTCGGGTGGCAAGCGGATCATCTTCAGGTTGAACATGGTGCAAGTAATTGGGGAATTTATCTTTTTTGTTCTCAGATTTATCAAAGGGTTGGCGCGGAGCGTGTTGTCTTGGCGCCCCGTAACCTGGAGGCATATGGCCTGGGGGACCGTGGTGGCCCATCGGCGCCCTAGCAATATAATCATGATGTGGGGCTGCCATTGCCTCTCTCCTGTATTCGCGGTGTACAGGCACACCAGGTGGGGGCCCGTAGGCCCTATCATAGCGATCGACAGGTCGCAGGCGATCAGGAGAACGGGCATAATAATGCCTATCATATTCGGGGCTTATGGATCTAGGCCTGCTCCTATAAACATCAGCAGAACGGGGAACTTCATAAACAGCCTCCACGATGGCCACTTTGTCATAGATGATGATACGAGGCTTGCCATGCTTGGCGTCGCGCGCGTCCTCAGGGCTTCTAAAGCAAACATAAGCCACGCGCTCCTCCATGTCGTGCGTGATTCTTATGCTAAAATCCCCGAATTTCTTGTACTCCCGGTATATGGTGTCTTTGATCACTTCGTCGCTGGCTTTGGGGTGCAGCGCACTCACGCACAACACTTTGTAGGGGTAAGCGGCCCTCTCCGGAGGGGGGCGCATGTACTCGTCGCGGTGCGGGGACACGTAGCGCGCCGCTCTGGGGCTGGGCGAGCGCGCGCCCCGGCTCCCGCGCCTTCGGACCCTGTCCGGAGTGATCCTCTCGTCGGAACTGTCGTCGTATCGCCCCATACTCGAGCGGGATCGTTTGCTTCTTGGCGGAGTGTCCCTGTCACTACTTCTCTTCATGCTATTATTCGATATCTTTATCGTTATTTTGTCTCTTGCAGCGGCGCCGATCATACGCACTGAACACACCAATTAACGGACACAATGGATGACGCGGCACTCCTTTCCTAAAATCACAATACAAAACACTCATTTTCTATGCTACTAAACACTACAAAACATATCATAAACATTCTAATAAAACAAACATACTTAAAACAACACAGAAATAATGAGTTTTCGGACCTTTTGCATCAATTTTTCACAATTTCACTTCCCCAAGCTCGTACACGAAACAAAATGGCAGCCAAATGATGCCGAAAAGGGGAACGTCTATTGATCCAAACATATCAACCAATCAGCAACAAGTATTTCATTACGTCATCATCCCCACCCAAATTTATTTTTGCAAATTAATCAAAATTACGACACTTTTAATAAGCAAAATTGCCAAATAAACACATTTTTATTAAAAACACACCATTTAAAATCCATAATTATTTCCATATCTTAATAAATGTAAAGATAATTTTAACAAAACCCAAGTTGTAAACACACTGTTGCCTAATCGATCACTAACATTTTACCGATAAATACTCATTTAAAATCCCCGAAAACTCAATCACCAATTAAATAAAAAAAAACATGTTTGTTATATTACTCACAAACTACATCTCACATAATTATAATATGCTACGAAAATAAAGAAACATTACACATTCAAACACATGACAACACCGCATTGCACATAACCTCACGAAAATGTCAGCTTTAAAACGGGTGCAGGTAATTTAAAAATAATTAAAACTCACCATATATTAACACAATTTTGCAGCAATGGGCTACGTTTGCCCGAATTTGGCACGTATACGATGCCAAATGGCAGAATCCTTTTCAATCGTCGTTATTACTCAAAAAATATCTGATGGGGATGCACAAACCAATTTATCATCCAATGAGTAAATATATTAATAGTACGGTTTAGTTACGATGTTGATTGAATGATATTTTGTAGATGACTGTGGAGATCATGTAATTGTTATAAATAGTAAAGAAATTGCCTTACCTGGGGATGAGTGGAAAAAGAGGGTATATTTTCACCATACAGGTTATCCAGGGGGTGCTACCTGGACTTTAGCCTGGGAATTACACAGCAAAGACCCAACTATGGTAAATAAATAACAATAATAAAATTATTTCTTTAAAATGTGCAACAAACATTATAAAAATATATAACACAAAACATACAAAGTATACAATAATTAAGTAAATTTTTAAAACAAATACCTAAATATTTTTAAAGTTGTTTCTGCATTGATTTCATACCTTAAATTTACCTCTAAATACATAATATGCATTTAAATTTTAAAGGTAAATTAAAGGTATTAACTTAATGCTGAAACATGTGACAATTTTGCTAATGTTGAGGTATTTTAGTTTTTCAAATTTAATTATTAGCTTAGGCATGTGATTAGAGATGCGACTTGAAAAAAAACGGTCCGTTTTTTAGGTTTTTTTTATTTTTTTTCTTTCAAATGGTTTTTTTTCCACATTTTAGGTTTTTTTGTCAAGATTAGTCCCATTTGCCTAAAATTAGTCACTAAATGACAATTAGTAAATGTAAATACAGTCTCGCGTTATGCACGCGCCTCCACCACCGAATTGACCAATAGGGGCCGCGCTTGTTTTGATTTGGTCCTAAAAAAAGTAACTACATATAATATTTTTGATTCAGCGATTGATTTTTCAAAAAGCTACCAAAAGCACTTTTTTCATGATTTTTCAAATTCATGTAGAATATGGAATTTTTTTCTTCAAAAAAACAATAGCAAATTCTTGTAGAACATTTATTCAAGTCAGAACATTCCGTGGACCAGAAAGCCAAAAAAAAATTTTTTATTACGGTATTTGTTAGGATTGAGCGTTGCACATTTTTCATCTAAAAATCTCAAAACTAGAAACTTCAAGCTTCTCAAATTGCTTTTTTTACGGCTCCAATACGACCATTTTTAACAAAGATACCTACAGCTATCCGAAGAATCGCAAAACAATTTTTTTATCCTTTAATTTTTTGTATTGGTGTAGAGGTTTTACTCAGATTTTTTAGTCTCGGTCAAAATTTTTAATAATGAAAAATTTAATATATTCTACATTTCACTTTATTATTAATATATATTTTACTCAAAATTTCATTTAAAAAAAAAACAAAAAAAACCGGTTTTTTTTCAGGTTTTTTCACTTCTGAAAAAAACCGTTTTTTTTATATCTCTACATGTGATTACATTTAATGTAAACTATAAAAAACATTTTAACAAAACAATTACCAATTACCTAATATAAACGATGAAAGTTATTGAGTCAGATTTTTGTAAATGCTAAATAACTTAATACCTACTTAAAACTGAATTAAAATATTAATTAATTGATTGTAGGTAATTAAAAAAGCAGTTTACAACAGTATGGATGGTAATTTGCAAAGAAGATACACCATGCAAAGATTACATATTTTCCCAGACGAAAATGTACCTGAAGAGTTAATGAAAAATGTGTCTAACCAAATTAGAGGTATCAAACCTGTACCAAAAAGGCTGGATCATTATAGTGAACAAGAAGTCAAAGAGTTCCCTAAAATTATTGATTATCCCAAAGATTATGTTTTAAGATAATAAGGTATTTGTTTTTGTATATAAATTGCCTAGATTTACAAGTTTTGCTAAAATAAAACATTAAGAAAAACATATGTTTGTGAATAATATTAATAGTATTTTTAAACATCACTTCAGAATATTACCAATAAATAATTTTAATTAATTAATATTTAATCAGGTAAGTACAAATGTAAAAATCGTATGTCATCTAAAATGGTTATACAATTATAAAAGTATCATATTTTATTAAAATAACTATCTTAATTTTTTTTTTATTTAGACAGAATTCGGCATTTACACGAATAATTTTATTCCGATTTTATTAAAATTTACAAAATTTGAAGCTTTGCTTACATTAAAATGTATACCTACTTTATTGTATTACAATTTCAACACAATCAATTTTATTTAATTTCAGGCCAGTGTTGAGCAGGGAATTTATTTTGCGGTCTATATTTATCTCTTCCTCCCATATATATATAAACTACCTATATGCAAAAAATTACGTCAATCTGTTTTTTTATAAAGTCCAAAAATAAAAAAAAATCAAAAACAGGTAAAATGTCAACAACCAAGTCTTGGTTTGTGTCATAGTTGGTCCAATTAACTTTTTCATGTGTTAATATTTTCTTCTGTCCTGTTGTGTTTTTGAAATAAAAGTCTTCTCAATGTAAATTTCAATTATTAAATTTTAATAATAGTTTATTAAATAATATTAAACAACTTAGTTTGTGTCAGTTTTAAATTTACCATCTGTATGCCCATCAATGGTTCTCTAAAATATACATATATACATCTATCAAACTTTTTGCTTCCAGTGAACCTTAAACTTAAGTTTAAATTAATTAACATCGCATTTTTTACCATTTACCAATTTAAGGTTTTTAAATTGTTTATAGAATGCATTAATTAATTAGCAAGTTTTTCTAATGATTGGCTAAAAAAATGTTTTGTGGTAAAAAATTGTTATTTTTGGAAATGATAAAAAAAAATTACGTAAATTTATTATAACATATTGTGAAAAAGTCATGTAATAAAGAAATATTGAAATTTCATTTGGAAATAGTATTGCAATGAATCTATTAATGTTGGACAATGTATGCCTTTAAAGATATGACATTGTTGCCTAAGAATTTTAGCAACAATAACTTTGCAAATTACATTATACTTTATATTAAAAAAACTACCTGAAATTATTTATTTACCTCAACAAACCCTTTAAACCCCATTACAAGTGAGTAATGTAATTTCCATATTTTTTTTTAGTTCTAAATGCCGAGTTGGGAAACCCTTCATAGTGCAGATATAAATATACAATTTCTACAGAAGTTTTCTAGATAATAAAATTCACCCTTAATTATTAACCAAATTGTCATTTTAATAAAAAAATATTTAATTTAAAGCTATTTTTTATTATTTTGGTATAAAAATATTTAATCCTTAACACTAAATTCAGAATTACTTGATTCATTAAACAAAAAATAGAAACTTCTGGCCAGTTGCATACACAAAAAATTTACTCCTTGGCATCTCCAATACCATCAGGATTGATAGCAAACATGGCTTCAGACTCTGGCAAACATGGTGAGTCATAAATTTTGCACATACGAGTCTCGCCTCTGCCTTTTCTCAAGTACAACCTGGTTGTAGAGGCATGTGCCATTATATTTCCACCAATGGGTTTTTTTGGGTCTGCATTGAACATTGCAGCCCCATCAACTTGGGCAACCACTTGGTTGGTTATGATAACGGCGACACCAAACTAAAAGAGTCAATTAAATATTTATGTTCATATCACATATAGCAAATGTTTATAAGTCAGCTATTTTTGTTGTTGAACTCACCTCATCAGCTAATCGTAGAAGCATTCTTAAAAATCTAGCTAAATGCCTTTGTCTATCAGATAATTCACCTCTACCAGAATAATCAGTTCTATAAAGAGCCATGGCACTATCAACTATAAGTAAAGCATACCTAAAAACAATAATAAACAGTTTTATTAATTTATTAATTAATTTAAATCAAATACCTTGATTCAGCCATCATAGCTGAAGCCATAATGAGTAATTTAGTCTGGTGATCAGTATTATAAGCCCTTGCATAAGCTACGTTATCTAAAACATCTTGTCCATTCATTTGGTATCTTTCAGCAACTGCCAGCAATCTTTCAGGTCTGAAAGTTCCTTCAGTGTCAATGTAAAGGCATTTACCTTCACCACCTCCACTTTCAATTGGTAACTAAAACAAAAAGCATTAAAAACTATGGAATTTTGAGGCTAAATAGTAAAAATTCATGAGACCAAAAACTTGATCAAAAAATGTGAAAGTGATATTTACTTGGCAAGTCACTGCTATTGTGTGACAAATCTGCGTTTTCCCAGTTCTAAATTCCCCAAAAATCTCTGTTATAGACCCAGTCACTACTTCTCTTCATGCTATTATTCGATATCTTTATCGTTATTTTGTCTCTTGCAGCGGCGCCGATCATACGCACTGAACACACCAATTAACGGACACAATGGATGACGCGGCACTCCTTTCCTAAAATCACAATACAAAACACTCATTTTCTATGCTACTAAACACTACAAAACATATCATAAACATTCTAATAAAACAAACATACTTAAAACAACACAGAAATAATGAGTTTTCGGACCTTTTGCATCAATTTTTCACAATTTCACTTCCCCAAGCTCGTACACGAAACAAAATGGCAGCCAAATGATGCCGAAAAGGGGAACGTCTATTGATCCAAACATATCAACCAATCAGCAACAAGTATTTCATTACGTCATCATCCCCACCCAAATTTATTTTTGCAAATTAATCAAAATTACGACACTTTTAATAAGCAAAATTGCCAAATAAACACATTTTTATTAAAAACACACCATTTAAAATCCATAATTATTTCCATATCTTAATAAATGTAAAGATAATTTTAACAAAACCCAAGTTGTAAACACACTGTTGCCTAATCGATCACTAACATTTTACCGATAAATACTCATTTAAAATCCCCGAAAACTCAATCACCAATTAAATAAAAAAAAACATGTTTGTTATATTACTCACAAACTACATCTCACATAATTATAATATGCTACGAAAATAAAGAAACATTACACATTCAAACACATGACAACACCGCATTGCACATAACCTCACGAAAATGTCAGCTTTAAAACGGGTGCAGGTAATTTAAAAATAATTAAAACTCACCATATATTAACACAATTTTGCAGCAATGGGCTACGTTTGCCCGAATTTGGCACGTATACGATGCCAAATGGCAGAATCCTTTTCAATCGTCGTTATTACTCAAAAAATATCTGATGGGGATGCACAAACCAATTTATCATCCAATGAGTAAATATATTAATAGTACGGTTTAGTTACGATGTTGATTGAATGATATTTTGTAGATGACTGTGGAGATCATGTAATTGTTATAAATAGTAAAGAAATTGCCTTACCTGGGGATGAGTGGAAAAAGAGGGTATATTTTCACCATACAGGTTATCCAGGGGGTGCTACCTGGACTTTAGCCTGGGAATTACACAGCAAAGACCCAACTATGGTAAATAAATAACAATAATAAAATTATTTCTTTAAAATGTGCAACAAACATTATAAAAATATATAACACAAAACATACAAAGTATACAATAATTAAGTAAATTTTTAAAACAAATACCTAAATATTTTTAAAGTTGTTTCTGCATTGATTTCATACCTTAAATTTACCTCTAAATACATAATATGCATTTAAATTTTAAAGGTAAATTAAAGGTATTAACTTAATGCTGAAACATGTGACAATTTTGCTAATGTTGAGGTATTTTAGTTTTTCAAATTTAATTATTAGCTTAGGCATGTGATTAGAGATGCGACTTGAAAAAAAACGGTCCGTTTTTTAGGTTTTTTTTATTTTTTTTCTTTCAAATGGTTTTTTTCCACATTTTAGGTTTTTTTGTCAAGATTAGTCCCATTTGCCTAAAATTAGTCACTAAATGACAATTAGTAAATGTAAATACAGTCTCGCGTTATGCACGCGCCTCCACCACCGAATTGACCAATAGGGGCCGCGCTTGTTTTGATTTGGTCCTAAAAAAAGTAACTACATATAATATTTTTGATTCAGCGATTGATTTTTCAAAAAGCTACCAAAAGCACTTTTTTCATGATTTTTCAAATTCATGTAGAATATGGAATTTTTTTCTTCAAAAAAACAATAGCAAATTCTTGTAGAACATTTATTCAAGTCAGAACATTCCGTGGACCAGAAAGCCAAAAAAAAATTTTTTATTACGGTATTTGTTAGGATTGAGCGTTGCACATTTTTCATCTAAAAATCTCAAAACTAGAAACTTCAAGCTTCTCAAATTGCTTTTTTTACGGCTCCAATACGACCATTTTTAACAAAGATACCTACAGCTATCCGAAGAATCGCAAAACAATTTTTTTATCCTTTAATTTTTTGTATTGGTGTAGAGGTTTTACTCAGATTTTTTAGTCTCGGTCAAAATTTTTAATAATGAAAAATTTAATATATTCTACATTTCACTTTATTATTAATATATATTTTACTCAAAATTTCATTTAAAAAAAAAACAAAAAAAACCGGTTTTTTTTCAGGTTTTTTCACTTCTGAAAAAAACCGTTTTTTTATATCTCTACATGTGATTACATTTAATGTAAACTATAAAAAACATTTTAACAAAACAATTACCAATTACCTAATATAAACGATGAAAGTTATTGAGTCAGATTTTTGTAAATGCTAAATAACTTAATACCTACTTAAAACTGAATTAAAATATTAATTAATTGATTGTAGGTAATTAAAAAAGCAGTTTACAACAGTATGGATGGTAATTTGCAAAGAAGATACACCATGCAAAGATTACATATTTTCCCAGACGAAAATGTACCTGAAGAGTTAATGAAAAATGTGTCTAACCAAATTAGAGGTATCAAACCTGTACCAAAAAGGCTGGATCATTATAGTGAACAAGAAGTCAAAGAGTTCCCTAAAATTATTGATTATCCCAAAGATTATGTTTTAAGATAATAAGGTATTTGTTTTTGTATATAAATTGCCTAGATTTACAAGTTTTGCTAAAATAAAACATTAAGAAAAACATATGTTTGTGAATAATATTAATAGTATTTTTAAACATCACTTCAGAATATTACCAATAAATAATTTTAATTAATTAATATTTAATCAGGTAAGTACAAATGTAAAAATCGTATGTCATCTAAAATGGTTATACAATTATAAAAGTATCATATTTTATTAAAATAACTATCTTAATTTTTTTTTTATTTAGACAGAATTCGGCATTTACACGAATAATTTTATTCCGATTTTATTAAAATTTACAAAATTTGAAGCTTTGCTTACATTAAAATGTATACCTACTTTATTGTATTACAATTTCAACACAATCAATTTTATTTAATTTCAGGCCAGTGTTGAGCAGGGAATTTATTTTGCGGTCTATATTTATCTCTTCCTCCCATATATATATAAACTACCTATATGCAAAAAATTACGTCAATCTGTTTTTTTATAAAGTCCAAAAATAAAAAAAAATCAAAAACAGGTAAAATGTCAACAACCAAGTCTTGGTTTGTGTCATAGTTGGTCCAATTAACTTTTTCATGTGTTAATATTTTCTTCTGTCCTGTTGTGTTTTTGAAATAAAAGTCTTCTCAATGTAAATTTCAATTATTAAATTTTAATAATAGTTTATTAAATAATATTAAACAACTTAGTTTGTGTCAGTTTTAAATTTACCATCTGTATGCCCATCAATGGTTCTCTAAAATATACATATATACATCTATCAAACTTTTTGCTTCCAGTGAACCTTAAACTTAAGTTTAAATTAATTAACATCGCATTTTTTACCATTTACCAATTTAAGGTTTTTAAATTGTTTATAGAATGCATTAATTAATTAGCAAGTTTTTCTAATGATTGGCTAAAAAAATGTTTTGTGGTAAAAAATTGTTATTTTTGGAAATGATAAAAAAAAATTACGTAAATTTATTATAACATATTGTGAAAAAGTCATGTAATAAAGAAATATTGAAATTTCATTTGGAAATAGTATTGCAATGAATCTATTAATGTTGGACAATGTATGCCTTTAAAGATATGACATTGTTGCCTAAGAATTTTAGCAACAATAACTTTGCAAATTACATTATACTTTATATTAAAAAAACTACCTGAAATTATTTATTTACCTCAACAAACCCTTTAAACCCCATTACAAGTGAGTAATGTAATTTCCATATTTTTTTTTAGTTCTAAATGCCGAGTTGGGAAACCCTTCATAGTGCAGATATAAATATACAATTTCTACAGAAGTTTTCTAGATAATAAAATTCACCCTTAATTATTAACCAAATTGTCATTTTAATAAAAAAATATTTAATTTAAAGCTATTTTTTATTATTTTGGTATAAAAATATTTAATCCTTAACACTAAATTCAGAATTACTTGATTCATTAAACAAAAAATAGAAACTTCTGGCCAGTTGCATACACAAAAAATTTACTCCTTGGCATCTCCAATACCATCAGGATTGATAGCAAACATGGCTTCAGACTCTGGCAAACATGGTGAGTCATAAATTTTGCACATACGAGTCTCGCCTCTGCCTTTTCTCAAGTACAACCTGGTTGTAGAGGCATGTGCCATTATATTTCCACCAATGGGTTTTTTTGGGTCTGCATTGAACATTGCAGCCCCATCAACTTGGGCAACCACTTGGTTGGTTATGATAACGGCGACACCAAACTAAAAGAGTCAATTAAATATTTATGTTCATATCACATATAGCAAATGTTTATAAGTCAGCTATTTTTGTTGTTGAACTCACCTCATCAGCTAATCGTAGAAGCATTCTTAAAAATCTAGCTAAATGCCTTTGTCTATCAGATAATTCACCTCTACCAGAATAATCAGTTCTATAAAGAGCCATGGCACTATCAACTATAAGTAAAGCATACCTAAAAACAATAATAAACAGTTTTATTAATTTATTAATTAATTTAAATCAAATACCTTGATTCAGCCATCATAGCTGAAGCCATAATGAGTAATTTAGTCTGGTGATCAGTATTATAAGCCCTTGCATAAGCTACGTTATCTAAAACATCTTGTCCATTCATTTGGTATCTTTCAGCAACTGCCAGCAATCTTTCAGGTCTGAAAGTTCCTTCAGTGTCAATGTAAAGGCATTTACCTTCACCACCTCCACTTTCAATTGGTAACTAAAACAAAAAGCATTAAAAACTATGGAATTTTGAGGCTAAATAGTAAAAATTCATGAGACCAAAAACTTGATCAAAAAATGTGAAAGTGATATTTACTTGGCAAGTCACTGCTATTGTGTGACAAATCTGCGTTTTCCCAGTTCTAAATTCCCCAAAAATCTCTGTTATAGACCCAGTTTCTATTCCACCACCCAACAACCGGTCTAACTCTGTAGAACCTGTGGTCAGCTGTATAATTTCAGATCTTTTCTGATGAAATTCAGTGGCGGTTGTAAATCCCATTGGCACTAATTTTGAAGCTTCAGCTATGAGTTTGTCAGCTTTAGCTTCCGAGATTCCTTTAATTTGTAACAGATACTTTTTGGGAGCAAAAGCCACTGATTCAATTGTGTGGTAACCAGCTTCTTCCAGCTTTTTAAGATCTCCTGAATTAATGCCATTACCCTAAAATATTAATTAGTACAGTTATTTATTTTTCTATGCTTAAACAATATGGAAACAAGTTACCTCAAGTTTGTTAATCAGTTGGGGACCTCCTTCATCAACGTCTTCTTCAACAGCGGTTGTAGTTGAAGCTGCACTGACACTCATTTTGTGTTAATTGAATTCTTACGTGATGTATGTTTATTACAAGAAATTTAAGGTTTATTGAATGTTGTCAATCTTGTTATTCCCTCCAATGTTTGATTTTAGTGACATTCAGTATTTTTGTTGGTATTTGCAATTATACCATGGGTATTTGCTTCCAGAACTAATTTAATTTTGCTATTCATAGGTAGAGGGCACTTCAATTTGCTTACTGGGTTGCATACCATCGAACTGTTTTTTATCATCGTTTTTCGGAACATTTTTTTTTGTAATTTGAGATTACTAATTTCACGTCTCACCTACGCTGAGCGTACTGTATTTATTGTATTGTGACAGTCACAATGTGGGAATTAAAAGCATATTTAACATGAGAAAGAAATTCCCATTGCTTTATCTACCTTGTAGGCTACAGAAATCCTGTAACATGATGTTTTGGTAAAATGTTAAATTATTTTATTATTAAATATTTAATACAAAATACAGATGCCTTTAAAAAAGCTCTGGGATAAATGGTATTTTCTAGTCACATAAGCAAAGATAATAAATAAAAATTGCATTTAGGTAAGTAAAACTATGAAACAAAGAAAAAAGGGGTCATTATAAAGAAGTTATGAATGCAGTATTACAAACGTCATCATATCATATCGCGATATAATGCTTTGATCTTTAATTTTGCATTGTGACACAGTTTTATATCTCAAGATATGCGTGAAAATCGCAAGTTCGTGCGAAAGTATACGCATGTTTCTGAGCAACTTCAGTTTTCTGCTACTTGAATATTTAGATGGAATGAATGCCGAGGGTTGAACATTGAATTTGTGTCAATAACCCTTGAAATAAAAAATCTTGATATGATGCGGAATTTTCATCTTTTAGCTTTACTTTAAAATTAATAATATAATGTAATTATTTTCTTTGGGTTTTCTTTAATTTTAGTATAAATAAGTTGATCTAAATCAAGCCCAGGCACAAAAATATTTTCAAAAAGGGCACATTTCCCTCTACATCCTTTTTTGACTGGACAAAATCCTAAAAAATGTGTACCGCCCCGGACAACAATCGGGATTTCCTGGTGCAGTCATGATGATATCACAACGTGATTTTTTTTATCACGCTGTGATATCCTGAGTGCATACACATGCTTCATCACAGTGATATCATGTAGAACTCAGAACATATAGTAAAATAATATTTTGCATATTGGTTATAATATTTGTATCATTTTTCTAGTACTTACGAGACTTTTCTGGCAATAAATTTTGTTTAACACCAAAGAAATTTCTTTTTTCTTCTTTAATTAACATTAACAAATAAGTAAATTAAGGACGGCATGGCGAATCGATTTTGACATTAACTGTCAAACCAATGACTGTGATACCTACCAACTATCCAAAGTAAAATTAAATATAGTCGTTTTTTCGCGTAAATACCATGAAATACTATAGTATTTCATGGTATTTACGTTAAGTTTAATAACCATATATGGTTATTAAACTTAACATTGGTTAATAGTTAAGGCATTTTTGCGTTTAGAGTGCGTTCAAAAATCCTAACTATGACGTCACAAATACCAGACCATAAAACTATATCGCTGAGCTAGTTATTCAACGTGGTTAATAGTCTTTCTCTTTTTAATATATATTTTTCTCTGTTTCGTTTTGTCAAAAAGTTGTTTACATTTGAAATTTAAAATATTTTAAGTAAGTAGGTACAATTGCTCTTAAACCGAATTTAAACTTTGTATTAAAATGGTAAACGGGGTGTTGTCAGTGAAAATAAATGATAGGATGCTCCATATTGTGGAATCTCCACAAGAAGTGGAGGAATTATATGCAGGTTTGTTTTATATTCTTCCTTATTTTGTATTAAACTAGGAGAATTGGATAACGTGTATTGAAAAAACTAGTATAGAAAAAGAATATACTAGGTATAAGAAGAGGCAAAGAAATTTATTTACACCGGTAAAAGCATAGAAATTAAATATAAATAGGTAAAATCACATTTCAAAAATTATAGGTTATGAACAAGTAAACAAATGTCAACTGTTAGAAACCTAACCATGGTTATACGAATTAACTGTGACGTCATGACTTAACCGTAGTATTACATAGTATTTACGCGACTATTCCACTCATTACTTTTTGGACCAATCAGATTTCAGAAAACGAGTGGTTTTTTCAGTTTTGCAGCGATAAAACTACTATACAGGTGACTATTTCCCTCGTCTTAATTTCCACCAATCACAAACGCGCAATTTTGAATTACAAATGGTTTCTAGGTGAAAAAACTGTGTGACAGCACCTGTCAGCAGTTTATTCGAGTTTACCCGCGGCAAAACTTGACAGCTGTTGTCACCAAAAATTGCAATTTATATTTTAATTGTTAACTGTTACTCATGAAATAGTCTTGTCAAATACCATTCGGGCATCTAATTTTTCCTGTGAAAAAAATCGAAAAAACACAATGCTAAGTAATATTTTTTAACAAAATGCATTCGTGCAGGTGCAAAAATCCTCCTCTTCGACTCGGATTTTTGTTGCCACCAGCACTCATGCTTTTTGTTAAAATATTACTTAGCAACGTGTTTTTTCGATTCTTTTCGGAAAAATTAAATGCCCTTATGATATTACTTACGAAAAAACCACTCGTTTATACGAGTTGCATAGCAACCAATTAATTTGTTGCTATGATAAAAATAATTGTCACTGTTGACGTTTTTAATTTTAAAATTAAAATGTTAAAAAATATGCGTTTTGGTCCAAAAAATCATACAGAAATTGAATCAGCAGTTAAAAATATTCGTGAAATAGTCTTGCCGAATACCACTCGTGATAAAATTTTCCCTGAAAAAATTTTTGATTTTTATTTACTCAAGATTTTTCCTTGAAAATTTCGCTCGTGGCATTAACTTCAAACCACTCGCCTAGCGGCTCGTGGTCTTAAAAATTAATGCCACTTGCGAAATTTCCAAGAAAAAAACATTCGTATAAAAATCAAAAATTTTATCGGTAAAATTTTACCACTAGTGGTATTATATACGAAAAAACGACTATAAGGTATAAAATTTTTGCAAAATGGATAAAATAGCATGAAGAACTCATGTCATATATGTCATATATCATATATATAATGTTTTAGGTAGCAACTGAAAGTAACTGCTACAAATTAAATTTACTAGAAAGTTTTTTTTACTTATAACACCTTTTTTAGAGTTGCAAAGTCTTCTTGAGGGCAACCAAGTTTTACTTAAATGTGTATTACTTTATAGTAACCATTTAAGGAAAGAATGAAGTTTCTGTTACAAAATATTGCTATTTAAAAGTTAGAATTACTTTAAAGTAGGTGGCTGTTTAGTATACTTAACTAATTTAAAGTTATCACCAGTTTGGTAATGGTTTTTGGAACCAAAAATGCTGCTTGGGGGGGGGGGGCCTGGCAATATTAGGGAACCTGTTCTTTTGCTTATATTATGCGTCTTGGACCCTATGTTCTGTGGCACTAACACTTTTTATGAAATATTGTAGAGATGTACGTGAAAATATATTTTGTTACCTTTTTTTTGAACCTTTTTTTAAGTGTTTTACTTAAATTTTTCTATTTTCCATTTTGAGCTCGGCAAATATCCCTGTTGAAAAAAACTGATCGAAAATGGATCGAGTTTAAATCTCGATCCTTTTTGATCATTTTTGATAAGGATTTTGTCTCCTGTTTTCGTGATCAAAAAGGATCGAGTTTCGATCCTGTTTTCTGGATCAAATAGGATCGAGTTTCGATCCTTTTTGATCACGAAAACAGGATCGAAACTCGATCCTTTTTGATCACGAAAACAGGATCGAAACTCGATCCTTTTTCGATCATTTTTGATAAGGATTTTGTCTCCTGTTTTCGTGATCAAAAAGGATCGAGTTTCGATCCTGTTTTCTGGATCAAATAGGATCGAGTTTCGATCCTTTTTGATCACGAAAACAGGATCGAAACTCGATCCTTTTTCGATCATTTTTCATAAGGTTTCCATAATTAATTCTAAAATAAAAGATACAATTTACAAAACTTGAAAACTTTATTGGGCACTTTGTATTTCAAAAAAATCGGATGACCACGACGATGATGATGAAATTCGTAATTATAATAATAACAGTCATATATTTTATAAAATAATATTCACAACAATAATTCCGTGGTTTCGGGGAATAAGGGGATAAGTCATTTTTGGGTCTCTCTTTTCAGACTACTGTCATAAGGTAAGAGTATGAAAAGTTGTATATAGTACTACTTTTACTTATTATGGAAACCTTATGAAAAATGATCGAAAAAGGATCGAGTTTCGATCCTGTTTTCGTGATCAAAAAGGATCGAGTTTCGATCCTGTTTTTATGATTAAATAGGATCGAGGTTCGATATCGTTTTTGATCACGAAAACAGGATTGAAACTCGATCCTTTTTCGATCATTTTTCATAAGGTTTCCATTATTAATTCTAAAATAAAAGATACAATTTACAAAACATGAAAAATTTATTGGACATTTTTGTTTTCAAAAATATCGGATGACAATGGTGATGAAATTTTTATCCTTTTTCTAAAACAAAAAAAAGTGCCCCTTTAGGGAATATATTTATATTACTATTTTAATATTGTCAAAATAATCTTGCAAATTTTCATTCATACCTTTTTTCCTTCGGCGATTTTTCAAATTTTTTTTTTTTTTGGATTTGTATTTTCGTTTTGCTTTAGCTCATACATTGTGGCGTACTTTTTTTCTTTATATTTTGATGTGGCCCCATTGCACGCCAATGTTGTATCAAATTTTAACAATTTTATTTTTCAAAAATAGGGCTTTCATATGAAAGGTATGTATACAAAATTATGATTAATTTTTATCATTTTCATAGAAGATATGACGAAAAAACGTTTTTTCTTTGTCAACTTATGTGTGATATTTTTCTGAATCAGGATAATGGGAGGAACATTTTTCCCTGGTAGGTTAAAACTGAATCACCCTGTATAACTATATACAAGACTAAAAATTAATTATTTACTTGCAAAAAAAGAAACAACGCATTGCGCAGTTGCTCCCTCACGTTCAATACAGTGGCGTAATAAGCACCCCCGCAGACCCCGCACCGCGGGGGGGCCCAGACGGTCAG